TCATAATTTAAAATTGACTAGGTAGGCTTGCTGGAAGAGCTCTGTCTTTAGTGATGTTTTAAAAGCACTCAGTATTTTCAGCTGTTGTATCTCCTCTGGCTGGTCATTCCAGAGTCTGAGGGCAGCTGACAAAAAAGTACTCTGGCAAACCATTGCCAGTCTAGACCTGGCTGGCTGGAGCAAACATTTCATAGAGGACCTGAATGTACAGGGTGGATTGTATAGGAAAAGCCGATCCTGTAGGTAACCTGGATCCAAACCATGTAGGGCTTTCAAGGGAATAACCAACACTTTGTATTTTGCCTGGAAACAAATTGGCAGACAGTGGAGTAATTTTAATATCTGTGTGATGTGATCATTCCTGGATGTACCCGTAATCAATCTAGCTGCTATATTCTGAACCAGTTGGGAGTTTCTGGACTTGATACAAAGGTAGCTCAATGTACAAAGCTAGCCCAATGCAGAATTCCAGCCTTGAGGTTACCAGTGTGTGCACTACCATCTTTAGGTCCTCCAATTCTAGGAAAGGGTGCAGTTGGCATATCAGCTGAAGCTGATAACAGGCACTCTATCTGAGCTGACATTTGGAGGGACAGATCCAAAAGCACTCCCAAACTGTGAACACACTCTTTTAGGGGAAGTGTAATCCCATCCAGAACTGGATGACACACCTCCAGCCCCAGATTAAGACCTTTGATATTAAGCACCTCTGTCTTGTCTAGCATCAGTTTCAATTTGTCCCCCCCCCCCCATCCAGCCCATTACCTCTTCCAAGCATTCATTTAGAGGAGACATACTATCCTTAGCTAAAGCTGTTTTTAAAGGCATGGAGGAGTATATTTGGGTGTCATCAGGATACTGATAACATCCCACCCCATGCCTGTGGATTATCTCTCCCAGGGGTTTCATGTAGCTGTTAAATAGTATTAGGGATAGAATGGCATTTTGTGGTACACCATATAACAGCTCCTTTTTGAGAAGCAGCTATCCCTAAGCACCACCATCTGGAACCTGCCTAAGAGGAAGGACTGGAACACTGCAGTGCAATGCCTCTGATTCCCAACCTCCCTCCAAGTGTTCCTGAAGGATACCTTGGATGCTGCTGCTGAGAGGTCCAAGAGCACCAGCAGAGACATACTCTGGCTATCAATGTTTAGGTGAAGATCATTATTAAGGTGACCATAGCAGTCTCAACTCCTGCTCTGAAGCCAGTTTGGCATGGATTGAAGAAGTGTGTATTATCCAAGACTGCCTGAAGTTGGAAAGCAACTGCCTTTGCAATCATCTTGCCCAAAAAAGGAAGATTTGATACTCATTTGTAATTATTAAGGTCCAGAGGATCCAGGGAGGGCCTTTTCCGCAGTGGTCTAACCACTGCCTCCCTGAAAGGTGCATTGATGATATTTTACATTTGAAGCCTAATTGCATCTCCTCCCTGGATGACCAGCCAAGAGGGACAGAGATTAAGAAAGCAAGTTATCTTCCTTACTTGCCCCAGCAGCTTGTCCACATCAACAGTACAGTATTTATGTGCTTTCTAATTATGCAAATTTAACAAATTAATAATTATGTCCTTCTCTTAGTAAATGAAAAGAAGATAGAAAACTCTAGTTACTGTTTTCAGAATAGTTTATTTTTTGCTTCTGTGAAGATTTATTTTTGCACAATTTAGAGTCTAGTGGTCAAAATCCCACTGTGTAATGTTTTAAATAGACATATGCAATCACTTGCATTACTCTTTTAAAATGGATTCATTTGTTTGCTGAAGTCTAGTTTCACTGACTTCTGTACACAGACGTTAAGATCTCTGTGTCATTCCATTTTGATATTTTGAACCTCTTAAGGATATCCTCTAAAAACATTCCTTGTTTTTGCAGTGCTAGGGTAACTGCAGAGCATCAATATCTTAAAGGAAGAGGGGCTGTGATAAACTGGAGATGCAGGGTTATTAACTTCTTGCCCAAACCTCACTGATTCACTAGACCCCTGAAGGATTCCAGCCATCACTCTTAAACTTATTCTTTAAAAGCTTAATTAACTGCCACGATCTAACTGAGCAATTTCTTAGAAAGCTTCTTCGGTGAGGGCACATGAGAAGGTCTAGGTTGGCCTCATCTCTGCTCTCCTTCTGCCAGCAGGTAAAGACTTTCTTAATAGACATTTGTCAATGAGCTGGTTGTGCAGCAGGATCTTTTAGAGGGATATGCACACTTCCCTTTTATACTTGTTATTTTTAAAATGTCTTTATATGATTTTATATTTAAACACATAATTGAATTTCTGTGGTGAAATGTTACTGAAAAAAATTAACATTTCTTAGCTATGTAGATGGAATTATGAATATATTTTGTAAGCTGAGATGTACAGTTGGCCCTTGACTTTCATGGGTTTAACATTTGTGGTTTTGATTATTGGCAGTGGTAAGCTCACATGGGTGTACACTCCTCCTCCTCTTCTTTCTTGGGCTTTCCTCTCAGGGGGAAAAAAGCCTGGGAGGGAGGAAGGGAGTAGCCAGGAAGAGTGCATGTGCACTCCTCTTCTACCACGCCTCCCATCCTTTAACTGGCTTCCCTGAGTCAGTGAAAGGACGGGAGGGAGGGGCAAGAGAAGCAGGCATGCATTCCTCTTCTCCCCTTCTCATCCTTTAACTGGCTCAGGAGGGGGAAGCAAGAGAACCAGGTACACATGCTCCTTTTCTACCCTCCCCCATCCTTTAACTGGCAAACAAGCTAATTTTTCAGGAAAAACAATTAGTTATTAAAAAGACAAAAAAAGATAGCAGCAGAAACCAACAAAACAGTCTATATTCAATGTTAGTTGTTTCTCAAAGTAAAGAGGTGGGGATTGACACTCTACTCCTGACCAACCTAAGAGGGGTGGAGCTATTCTTAAGGGATTACAGACTAAAACATAAACATTGATTTCCTTACCTTCCAATGTGAAGAGGAGTCTGGATAACAGAGCAAGAGAAGCAGGTCTCAGAAAGTGTGACTCTTTCTCTCTCTCTTTCTCTGTATTTAACCTTTTTTAAACTTGGAGGCTGTCTCCTAAAAGTGAAGGGAACTCCTCTGGGTGAGGCAAAATAAGACCACAATGCTGTTCTATGGAGGGTATGTGCTTGCAAAGGGTATAGATGAACATGGCTTCAGGCACTGATAATGAGTCTTAGATGGTCTGGGCAATCAAACACAATGGAGCTGTGTACACAAGACAAAGCAATTAAGTACAGTTGCCCCTCTGTTTTCATGGACTTGAAGTCTACGTCCCTTGCCTGATCACAAGTGGCAAATGGAGGGGGATAAAATGGGACAGGTACCCCCATTCAAGCCTATGGGACTTGAATATTTGTGGTTTTCCATTTTTGTGGGATGGTGGTCCAGAATGGATCTCCTGCGAAAATGGAAGGGCAACTGTACAGCTATTCACCCTTTTTCAAATCCAGATGGGTTGCCCAACTTCTCTGAAAGTTGAACAATACCTCACAATGTACCAGTCTGAGCCAGTTTGTCAGGTCTCCATTCAATAGAGGTAAACAAGATGGTTAAACCCTGATTTATTTCATCAATGGAACTATTTCCTTGTCAGCAGGAGGGTGATGGTGGAGGGAAATTCCAGTTTGTCTTTAGAGTAAGGCTTCATTTTCCCCCAAGATGGACAGGGATCCAGATACCTGTCCAGAATGCTTTCTTAATAATAAATGCAGATTCTGACAATACACAACTTCATATCTTATGCACCAAAGTCTAATATTTATATTTATTGAGCATAACACATAAGACCATGATAAAATATGTGCTTGAATGCAATGAAACATTAATGTGAAAGATTGGTGAGCAAGGTGTTACAGATACAATTCTCCATGTCTAAAAGGAGCTATGGAAAGAATTTTCAATTGTTCCACTTCCTCTAATAGTGAGAAGGAGTGATATAACCATGTAACCTTCAAAGAAGGGAGATGGGAAGAGTACTAAAGACATATTTTATTGTAATACCTGTTGACTTACAATTTTACAAGCACAGCATAGAAGCAAACACATTTTCACAGCAGGTAGCAAAACCTCTGATCCTGCATCACATTTTCAGAGTAAACTCCTGGACTCCTGCAGTTCCTAGGTTGCTTCCAACAAAGTTAAAATTACTTCACCTTAAAAAAAGAAACAAAGAAATAAAACAAAAACTTTTAATTTTCTGCTTTTGACTTGGTCTGAAAACAGACTGTAATAAAAACTCTTTCTCTTTATCCCAACCGTCTTAAAGCATGTCATCTCCTAAAATTAAGGGAGAGAGATTTGTAGCCATCATTATTATTATTATTTGTTAATGGTTTTGGCCACCAGGGACCAGTGATACCTGCATTCAAAGCAATTAATGATAGTTAAATGTGAAACCAAAGTCACTGCAAGGAAATTCTGTACCTCAATACACATTGCAAACTCTAATGTGTTCTAAATAAAATGCCTATAGTGTGTAAGAGGGAGAGGAAGCTGAGAAGGTAAATATCTATATATTAATAGATTCCATATACCAACACTTTCTCATCTTCCTCCTTGCAGAATTGGAAAATACAGAATTTGCATATTTAAATAAATAAATAAATAAATAAGACATATAATTCAACCACTTGCTAAAACAATTCTTTCTTGTTGAGACTCCACCCAAATTCTGTTAAAATACTAAGCTGAGTGTGGGCTAGATTCCCTTAGCTGATGTTACTATAGGAGATCACTTCATTAATTTAGTGCACTTATTAATTTCACTTTCCTAATGTGCAACCCCAGGAATCAGTGGAGAACCTAACCAAAGTTTGGAATTTTAATTTTAAAGTAGTTAGTTACTTTACTCATTACTCTGATCACAGCAGGTCATTTACTTGTTAATGATACTCACTCATTACCAATGAGTTAATGTTATTGTTCACTATTGTTGTTGTGTGCCTTCAAGTCATTTCTGACTTATGGCAACGCTAAGGCAAACCTATCAGATCACTCAGTGGGTTTCCATGGCTCAGCAGGGATTTGAACCCCAGTCTTCCAGAGTCCTAGTCTGGCACTCAAATCACTACACCACGTTGGCTTTCTTAACTTCTGTACCCTTTATAAATTTGGAGATCCCCCCCCCATCCTTCAAGTGACCAGTTCATATATTGCATCTTGGAAAATTCAAAATTCAGTTCATAGTTCACCTGGAGCTTGACATTTGTTGGGTGCGGTGGCATGGAGCGCTGCACGTGGAATATGCAGTGCAGGATCTTGGCCTGTCACGACTTATGGGAAAGATACTCTTTTTGCCTTTTTCTCAGAACTTCCAAGTTGAACCTTGAGGGGCACAGTGTGACTAGGCAGCACATATCTGTAATTATGTATTAATTGCATAACTCACTGGAGCTATGGACATTATGAACATTAACTCAATGGATCAAGTTCATGTGACTCTCTGGAGAATTGGGAGACCAATCTAATTTCTCATTCTCTCAACTGCAAAACTGCAGCTGGGACAGGCACTGCCTGGTCATTCCCCCACCCCCACAAAACAACACAACACAACAAAACAAAACAGCTGTAGGCTTGGATACTGCATGAGGAGCTACTGAATAACTGCTTGCACAATGTCCCAAAGAAAACTTTTGTACATGTAAAGCCAATTTACACACCTATGTCTCACCAGCAGGATTCCAGCCAATCCATCTCCTTTCTTTTCCTTGCTTTTTTCTCTTGTCCTTGTTGCTGGCTGAAGCATGGTCCTTTCTCCTCTCTCCTTTCTCTTTCTCCTCATTGCTCAGACAAATAAGTTCATTTACACTGTAGAAATAATGCAGTTTGACACCACTTTAACTACCATGGCTCCAGCCTACAGAATCCTTGGAATTGTGGTTTTGTGAGGCACCAGCACTGTGGGGTGCAATTTTAGTTTCTCAGGGTGTTAGCCCTTTTAAAGGGAAACAAAAATATGCAAGTATGAAAATTAAACATGTTAGAGTTCAGCTTTCATCAGCAGAAACAGCAAAAGTGTGGGTAAAGACTTACTCCAAAAAACAGCAAACATGTGGTTTGTGGTTTAAAAACAAATAATAATGACTTTAATAAATAAATACATAAACTAAATCCTGTGTACAAACTGGTGATGCTTTGGGTATAGCGAACAAATCTCACAATCTTTAATATAGCAGGAAGATGGGACAAGCAACTACTAACTACAGTTACTAGCAGTTTAGAATCTTGAGAGAAAGCTGTTAAACTGTTTCCAAGATTCAGTGACCAAAGTCATATGATAGTTAGAATGAGAGGGAGGGAGTCCCTATCTATATAATGAGGGATAGGTGAATGCAATGCATAATTCTTCCAACAAGCACTCTGGCAGAAAAAGCTAAAGATCTTATAAAACTACAAATCCCAGGATTCCATGGGATGGAGCTACAGCACTTAAACTGCATTATTTCCACGATGTAGCACACATGTTAGTAATGAGTAATATACAGTAAGTCCTTTCCTGTTATACTGAAATGTAAAAGGCAAAAATTTAACTAGTAAGCAAAGTAATGCAGAAGTAACTTGTTACCATCCTCACTGTCAACTTTAGTCAATATTAATTTATTTCCCTGATATAAGTATTGGTGTTGGGCAGAGACGAGCCAGAAATAAGTGAATATTTTAGATATTGTGTAAATGCTGGATATTGTGTAAATGCTGTCAGAGAGATCTTTAAGCCACTTACATTTAGTATTAGGGCTTTGCAGAAAACTGCATGGATGAATTTATTCTGACCCTCTTTGATATGCAAACCATGCTTTAAGATTTGAAATGAAATGAACCAGTTACTACAGAATTGCTCTATTAATTTCCACCCAATCAAAAACATTTTCTTACATTAATTGTAATCCCTCCAATTAACTGTATTAATAGAACTTTCCACAGCATTTTATGTGTTCTAGTGTATAATGTTTGTAGAAATGTTGGAATATAAGAATATTAAGAAATGAAATCTACATTAACTCAACTGTTACTTGAGGAATCGTATAGCCTGGTCAGAAAATGAATTATACATGTTAGAAAAAAAAAATCAATGAATGACAATTACAAGTTGGCTTTACTTATTCACAGATTTTCACTGGGTTACTGGACTTCTTTTGTGCATTTTGTCATTCATGTCAAATCTAATTGCTTTGAAGAGATTTTTTTAAAATAAAAAGCTTGAAAGATAGTTTGCATCAAGCAACTAAGAGTTTTGAAGCCAAGAAGCCGGTATAGGCATGCCCTACCTTTAGGAAGAATGAGATAGTTGCTTCAAGTAACAGTTGGACTGCCAAAAATATAAAAGAGGAAAGAGAATGGAAGTATATTGGAAGATAGGAACATTTGCCTAAGTGCATGAGGATACACAACAATGTTCCTGTAAGTACATCAAAATCAACATCATTGATCTAAGAATGTCTAGTCCAGCAATTCCCAAACTTTGGTCCTCCAGGTGTTTTGGACCTCAACTCCCAGAAGCCATAGCCAGCCAGGCCAGTAGTGAGGAATTCTGGGAGCTGAAGTCCAAAACATCTGGAAGACAAAAGTCTGGGAACCACTGGTCTAGTCAAACCATCTAAAGCAGTATGTCCACTAAAGCAAAATTTAATGGACACAATTTGGTTAAACAAATTTGCATTAACAGAATAAATCATTGACAAAATAATTGAATGAATAGAGGTAATTGATCACAGACCTTTAAAATATTTTCAGAGCACAGTTTCTCTCAACAATGCTAGTTTGGGAGGAAAACCCCATGCATATAAAATGATCATTTATATATGCAAATGAACTTTTTCATGTGCATATGAGTAAAGCTGTATTCTGTATTGCCTCCTTTTTCCAGGAAATTCTCCCTAATGCTGTAAAGCTGTTTTCTTGGATTAATATATGTACGTGATTTGTTGATAGCTGTGGCAGCAACCAGATCTGGATGTGCGTGTGTGTTTTAAAATTAACATGTTCCCAGCCATAAACCTGTGAATCAGTGAGGGAGGTGAAAAAGGAGGAGAAAAGGACTAACAGAAAATGTATGTATTTATTTCCATTCAACCCTGTATCTAAAGATCTCAAGGCAGTGTGCAAACAATAACACAAAATAATTTAAAATAATATAAAATAATTCAATAAAACTAAAACAGAATCCACAATCCAACAGATTGAAAAACCAAGCTGTGAAACTAGAACAAGATGCCTGGCTAAATGGCTAGTTTTTTGTTTGTATGTGTGTTTAAAAAACTTGGTGGTGAAATGATCCCATCTTCAAAGCCAACCATATCTCAGGGGGGGAAGTTATTTCATAATTGGACTGATACAGCTGAGAAGGCCTTTTCTTGATTTTGCATATGTATTGATCTCAGTAGTGGAAGGCAGATGATGACTGCCCACCTGATCATAATGATTGGGCAGTTACGTATAGGAAGATGTGTGTTCTCAGATTTCAAGGTGGAAAATTGCTTAGGAATTTGAAGGTTATCACTAGCACCTTGAACTTGGACTAAAAGCCTATTACAGTCAGTGCAATCTGATTAAAACCAGTGTAATATGGCTTCTGTAGATTCTGAGAGCTATCCAACTCTTGTATTTTGCACTGGCTACAACTTTCATATTATCCTCAAGAGCAGTCCCATGTAAAGTGCATTGCAATAATCTAGATAGGAATTTACCAACTAGTATGGAGAGATTATCCAGCCATGAATGGTCATAGCTGATGAGTCCAAAAGCACTCCAAGACACTGAGGATTGCTTTGGTGGTCATGTGGCCAGCATGACTGCACCGAACACTGTTACCTTCCCACTGAAGTGGTACCTATTTATCTACTTGCATTTGCATGCTTTTGAACCACTAGGTTGGCAGAAGCTGGGACTAGTGATAGGAGCTCACCCCATCATACAGTACTCAGGCCTTGAACTGCCAACTTTCTGATCTTCCAGTTGTCAGAATTGGCATCTTAACCACTAAGCCACCACATTCCTTATAATAGTAGTATTACTTTATGCATTTATATCCTGCTTTCCCCCTAAAGCTGGGACACAAAGATTACAAAAAATAAAATAAATACAAATGAAAGTACATAGAAAAACAAATACATAACTCAAAACAGACATGGGCTGAGAGAGATCCTACATCAAGCAGATGGAGCATAACCATATGCCTGTGCAATTCTATGTCTCCCCCTGCCATGGCAGCTGGAAGGGATTGCTGGCACTGCTTCTTACTGAAGGTGGGGAGCAAGTGGCAGTTCAAGTAAAGATGAATCAAATGTTCTTGGCTCATCTATTTGTTTTAAGAAATGATGTTGTCCACATATACCCACCTATTTTCTAATGTATATTTTGTTTTCCTGCTGCCCAAGATGTACCCAGCTGCATATTAGAATAAAATATCTGGTCCAGAGAAGCTGCATCTTCATCATCTGAATCTCCTCCCCCCTACCTTCCCCACTGAAAAACAGAAGATCTTTACAGGGGATGTTTTGGATAGAGCATAAAAGATAAAGTATCATATTCAAAAAGAGACATACATGTGCATAAGCCACACTTACACAACTTTATCTCATTAATAGGACACAGCTAATGGTATGGTAATTGGGTTTGCTTTAGTGTTAAAACATTACTTCATTTATATTTCTCTCTTTCTGTGTTTTTGTGTTGTGAAAAATAGAAATCCTTGAAAAATACATTTCAGTGGGAATATTAAATCACACTATAAACAGACTGGATGTGAAAGATGTGCTTTCTCAATCCCCCCCCCCCCCCCCGTTAGACTAAAGTTTTTTAGAGTGGCTATTAATGCAGATTGCACTATAAAACAGTGAATAGGAATACTTGAATGAAACACTTTTAATTTTTAACAAATGTTGCTATGGATTCAGACCATATTTATTGTCCCAGACAGATTCTGCTTGAGGAGGATGGGCAGAGGGTGAAAGATCCAGAATTAATTTAAAGAAAGTAGAAACATTCAGTGACATCACCAGGGTTGGTGTCACCTGGTGCAGTAACTCATGGTGTAACCCCCCCATCAACCTCTTCCCATTTCATACCATACAGAATCCTTAGTAA